AAAATCAGGAAAATCAGAGATTCATAACAAAATGAGGATGTTTAGCTGCCTTCAATGATTTACTCTGCCTATTAAAATTCTCAGCAACATACATTAATAATTATTGCCAGAGGATATGAACTATTGATAGTGTACTCAAAGTTCCAAAAGTCATGTTACCGTTTATGCTGTATACAAATTCAAGGAGAAGTCATTTCCAACATGATCCTCTTGCTCAGCCAGAAGAAATAACTGGCTGTGCTATAAAGTGAACAGGATAGATCGGTTTGCTCCCAATAACTTCAATACCACTTGGTAAGAAACATTTACTGAAAAATGTTCTTGAGGGTTCAAAATTTTAACTTGTATTCACATCACACATGAAAGAGACACAGAGTGAAACAGAGACGAATCAACCACAGAATCCCTGGACCGGTTGTCTACTGGGATGAGGAGAGACAAACTCATTTCAATGGAAAACGCAAAGACTTTAAGAACGTAAAAGGACCTAGACTTGAGCAACATTTGACTCTGGGCAAGGTATCTCATCACTGAATCTTTGTATTCCTATATGTAAATGGAGCTTTAAAAAAAAAAAAAAACATATCTTGCAGGGTCACCATGAGGCTAAGTAATATGAACATCTATCAAGATTAATATTAAACCTCTCACTCTGTGCCTTGCACATATAAGATGCACATTAATAACAGCTATCACACACATGCATTTATATTAAAAAATACTAATAAGATGGACGTTTCCTTTGCCACAGAAAATGCCACTCTGAAAACAGACTTTAGATTCCATATACATACTATACTTTGAATATCAAGTGCTCCTCCTTCTGACTTTAGTAATCTGTGGTGTGCTTTACTGGATCAGAAGCAACAACAATAGCACATTTATTTTAACAACATAAAATGTCTCTGAAACTTTCCTAAGCTTATCTTGGTCATTAACGTGAACTAAAGTACAGAAAACCCTTAACTCTCATCTATCCTACAAGTTACAACATTCTTGCCCATAATGCATCAGGGTCTCACCAATACTACACCTCATACGTGGGTAGACAATACTGTGAAGATGGTACAGTGGGGCATGAGCAACCAGCAGAAATTACATATGCGCCAGGATCAATCCAGAAAGCCACAGTTAATTTGATGCAGAAGCAAAATAAAGTGGCTTAGCCTCTAGAAGGTTGAATTCTGGCCTTCTTACCAGTATACAGCTGACCCTTGAACCATGTGGACGACAGGGGGGCAGATCTCCCCTTGTAGTAAAAAATCTGTATGAAACTTGACTACCCCAAAACTTAATTACTAATAGCCTACTGCTGACTGGAAGACTTATTGGTAATATAAACAGTCCATGAATACTTTGAGGCTATATGTATTATATACTGTACTCTTACAATAAACTAGAGAAAAACGTTATCAAGAAAATTTATAAGGAAGAGAAAATAAATTTACAGTACTGGACCGTATTTATTAGAAAAAATCCACATATAAGTAGATCCGTGGACTTGAAATCCACATTATTCAAGGGTCAACTGTACTTTCAAAACTAAATCAGGATCATATTTGCTCTCTGACTCCAAGACCTCCAGTCACTTTTTCTGTCACTCAATGGAAAAGTCAAGCCCCTCCATGGCCTAAGAGACCCTACATGTGCTGGCTCTGTGGCTGCCCTACTGAAGTCCACTCCCTCACTCCCCACCTTATTCCAGAAGTGCTGGCCTCTGGCTGCTGCCTGAGCACAGTGCCACAAATATTCTCCTCCACATGATGTTATCAGGGACATCTTCCCTGATCCCTTTTTTTAAAGTGCGTCTCCTGGGGCACCTGGGTGCCTCATTCCGTTAATGACTCTTGATTTCAGCTCAGGTCATGATCTCACGGTTTGCGGGTTCGAGCCCTGCATCGGACTCTGTACTGACAGTGTGGAGCCTGCTTAGGACTCTCTGTCTCCCTCTCTTTTTGCCCCTCCCCTGCTACTGCACACTTTCTCTCTCTCTTTCAAAGTAATAAAAATAAGAAATAAAACGCATCGCCCACTCACCCCCAGCATGCTCTTTCCTTCTTCCTGCCTTCCTTTTCTCCCAGTATAGGCTTTTCAAAAGTTCCAGCTTTTCAAAAGTTCGCATTACAACACTTTGCTTTTACAAAAGACCTACGTTAGTACCTGTTTTTGCCAACCTGCAGAAATCCAGAGGGTTTTCACTTTTACATAAAAAGGTGAAAAATGAAAATACCAATCAGCGTTTGCTTTGCAGCAAGCCCTTATAGAGGCAGCGTGCACCCTGGAGAGCAGCGGCATGGCCCCGCCAAGCTCCTTCCAGGGAACTGCACTCAGCATCTCAGCATCAAGCCACCATAGCTTTGAACTTAGTCTGTGAGCATCTGGGCTTTATCTTGATTTATTCTGTGCATCTGTTGGCAAGATGCACCCTGAGACACCAGAAAATACTAAGACAGATTATTTGTGGGGTCTGGGAATGCTCAAATATTGTTCCATATAAATTAATGCTAAATGCTTCTTTGCTTTATACAGTTTCAGCTTATGAAAGTTTTCAGTAAGAGCACTCTGCTTTTGGATATCAGGAGAAACCCATACTTATCATCATTTAAGGGGTTACAAATTTTAGTCATTTGCCTCTTATCTTTCTCTTCCCTCGAAAATGCAAACTCACAAGGGCAGTGGGTTTTTTCTTTTGTTTGTTCTTTTGTTTTGTTTTTTTTTTCCATCATGTTCATACTGTACCCCCACGATCTAAGGCTGGGTATAAAATAGTCAATAAATATCTGCTAAATTGTTTGAGGAAGTCAACAGGAAAAGGCAGGGAGAGTTCCTAGTTTTCATGGAATCTGTAAAGTGAAATGAAAAAAAAAGAAAAAGAAAAAGAAGAGGTATTTTTAAGCGCACACACACATACACCCCCCACACACACACACATAAAGTCTACAAAAGTAAATGCACAGTATAATTACAGATTATGTTAAAATAGAGAAATTAGACAATAAATAAGTGAAGAAAATAGATATTCGTTAGCTACCATCTAATGTTTCAGTGTATCCTTATAGAAATAAAGCAGCTAATAAATAAATACAGATATGGAAGATGGTAAATCTAATATGCATCAGTATTTGGAGAGCATTATGCCTGCAGCTTTTCTACTATTTAAAGGTATAATCTGAGTGAAAACCAAAAGGAGGAAAAAGAACACAAGAAGGCTGTGGAACCCCATTTCTTTCTCATAATCTTTGGCCTGATGCATGGTTGACAAAGCCATGAGACAATATTCTCACATCTTTGATTTTATTTCAGCATTTCCAGAAAAAAGAGTAATGGAGAAACATATTTCTATTTGATGCCTAAAATCTTAAACTTAGTATGCAACTCAAATTAATTCTCAGCGTTCCACTTGAAGCTTCAACATTAAAAGACCTGTGCGTTTTATTCCTTAATATCACTTGCTGTGGTTTCAGTGATTTACAGAGTAGATTTTTATTATTGAGTTTCAAGCTATTTGTTAGGGATAAACTGTCGTGACTATAACCAAAAAAAAAAAAAATGTTTTTTAACTTGCTCCCAAAGAAAAAATTAATAGTATAGAATACTGTAATTTCATATGCTAATTAAGAACATATGTAAACAAGATAAGTTTAGAATATGGCAGATGTCTATTGAGAGTCAACATCATACTTTAAGGAGATTAATGGTCATGAATAGAAGTTAAATTAGTCACAAATATCAACACAGAAAATATATGTTGAACTTTTTCTGCCCTGGGAAGGCAATGACAGCAAGTTGCCCTGGCCCATATCGCATACCTTCAGAATTCAGGTTTTCTGTGAATTTTACCTAATATGGCCATAAAAAAAAAAAAAAAAAAAAAAAGAATTTTGCAGATGTGATTAAGGGACCTTAAAACGAAGAGATTATCCTGGATTATCCAGGTAAACTCTAAATGGTACCATTTTTATAAGACAGAGGCAGAGGGTGATTTGACACAGACAGAGGAGGAAAATCCAGTGTGACCACGAAAGTAGGGACTGAAGTGACATGGCCATAGCCGAGGAATGCCGGCCGCCACCAGAAGCTGGAAGAGTGCGGGAACGGCTGGTCTTCTACAGCCTCCGAGAGAAGTGCATCCCTGCCGATGCCTTAAGTTCAACCCGACGATACTGATTTTAGACTTCTGGCCTCCAGAGCCACAAGAATAAAGTTTGGTTGTTGTAAGTCACTAGGTGTATAGCAATGTGTTAGAGCAGCCGCAGGAAACAAATATGGAATTCAAAGAATCGGATGGCATGAACATAACAAACCCCCTTCTTTTTCACTACTTATTAGGGGAACATGTTCTTTAACACTAATACCTGTAAAAATAAGAAAATGTGAAATAAAATTGTTGCCAAATTCTGTCTCACTCCAACAGAAGAATGAAAATTCTTTTAACTTGTTGTAAAAAATGGAGGAGAAAGCCCTCTACATTTTACAACACAGAGCTGCATTTCCAATTTACAAAATATTTTTGAAGATTACTCTTTATGTTTATAACTTTAAAATGTAAAAGAGTTACTTAGTTCTTCTAGAAAAATTTAGGGTTTACACATCCATAAAGAGAAGCACCAGTGTAGAAATTTCCCGTGTCTTCACTACAACCAGTTCAAAAAGTAGTTCAGATAACAGCTTATTTTATTAACTTCTCAAAAAATGTTCACTGTGCTACCAACGATTATTATGGCATTTATCTTTCTATCAACTTGGACTCTGTGTTTTGGCTCCCAAATTTCCCTAAATCATTATTTAAACAAAGAAGTGTGCTAAATGTGTAATATTTCTACCCTTACTTTCATTTTGTGCTACATTCTTTGTGTCCCAACCAACAACACCAAAAATAAAGAAAAAGACTGTTCATAATTCTCTTCTATTTTTCTACGTCTGAAGAAACTCTTTGCCATATGATTGAAGCTATAAGGAACGGAAAAGCAAGGATATGGACTACGGTTCTGTATCCTTACCTAGACCTATGTGAGGCAGATGCTCAAAAAGGGTCCAGCTGTGGTCATCAATGTAATGATTCTTCAGGATCAACAGCTGGCAAACATCTCGGGCAGTTATGTCACTGGGTACCTCTACAGCCCTGCTGGTTTCATCTTCACTGTATACTTTAATTACCTGTGTAGGTAGAAATAAGAAAATGAGCTAAAAGAGTCTATTAAAAAATATCACTCTAATAAGTCATCAAACTTATTGGCTGAGCTAATTACAAAGTCCTTATATGGATTCTTGTACATTTAATTTTCTAAAACACTGAAAAAATGTTGCCTATCCAAAACTTGTTCATAACATGTCAAATCACTATGTCTGACAACTTCTACTCTCTTCTCTTCAGTGTCTAAAGTAGAGGACGTTCAGTGACCATTTGCTGTCATTTCTCTACCACTCTGGTCTATTAAAAAGCTATATATCCCTTAACAATACTTAAAATTTTCCATTCCATATTTAAATCCTGTAATCCAAGTAACATGGGCTATTCATTCCCAGATATATACAGGTAGTAAAAGCAGTAAGTAAATCAGCCTTTATGGAAAGATGTCTCTATTTTCAGGCTCTTGAAACTTGGGCAAAGACTGGCTAGATGTGTACCAAATCATTTTTTTCCCCCTTGCAATTAGTTGTACCCATGGGATTGAGTTTTAGTCAATGGAATGTAAGCACATTCAATGTTGCACTTTCAGGCCTCATCCATAAAGATCTCCCACATATTGTCCCCCATTGTTAGGCCACCCTCCCACTGAATGGAAATGACTGCAAGGACCTAGAGGGAAGAAAAGCCATAGGACAAAAAGAGCCTTTATCCCACCATGACCACATGAAAGGTGCCCAACTAAGAACGCCCATATGGAACTTTGACATGAGCAAGAAATAAACTTTTATTGTGTTCACTTACCGTGAATTTGTATTTATCTATCACAGCAGCTAATCTTACTCTAAATTATACAGAATTAGAGAGAGTTTCATATACAACACTCCCCTTAACATTTACCAACTTGTGCTCTGTGCTAGAATCTCCATTATTAACTATGGTATGGTTGTATATTAATTAAATTAATTATAAGAAGATAAACACCTATGATAATAGTATAGTAAGATCAACATATACACACACAAGTGGGAAATGGTATGAAAATTCAGTATAAGAAATACGCTTGTTACAAAAATAGACATTTCAACATTTTTAGTAATTCAAACAAATGCAAATAAAAATGATTTATCAATTTTGTCCTACCAATTTTTTTTAATGTTTATTTATTTATTTTGAGAGAGAGCACATGCGCACAAGCAAGGGAGGGGCAGAGAGAGGAAAGAGAGAATCCCAAGCAGGATCTGCCCTGTCAACGCAGAGCCCAATGCAGGGTTTGGTCTCACGAACTGTGAGATTATGACCTGAGCCAAAATCAAGAGTTTCATGCATAACCGACTGAGCCACTCAGGTGCCCTTGTCCTACTTTTTTTTTTTTTTTTAAATTACACTTAATTACAGTGTGATGAAACACTTGCTCTCTTACAGTGATAGGAGTGATATAATTGGTAAAACTATTTTGTACACCTATTGGAAAGTATTCAAAAGCATTAAAAGGTCCATTCCGTTGACTCAGTAATTTCCCTTACGTAAACCATCTCAGTAAATCTGTCTTAAATGTGGAAAATGGCTTTAAGCATAGACATACCCAGCAAAGCGTTACATATAATTCTATTAATCTAAATATTCAACTATAAAAGAATGGTAAATGGCAGTACTTTCATAGAATGGAATATTATATAATGTCTCAGCATGTTATTCAAGGAAATGATATAGGAACTTTAAAAAATTCTTAGGTAAACGAAAATCATGACACCGAAGTATACTTTATGCATAGTACAGTGCAAATTCCCTTGGTAGACTGGCTACCAGGTACCTACCTGTCTTCTCTAACAATACTCTGGTTGCCTTTTAGAGCACACTCCCTCCCTCACCATCGGTCCTTGTGACCCCTGCAGCTCTCCCTCCAGCTCAGCCATGGAGACCTAGAGCTGCAGGGACAGGCTTACCAGAGCCGGCTGTTAAACACTCAGGAGCTGCAAGTCAGGCATCCAGCTTGAAATCAGCCGTGGTAGGAGCATGTATACAAAAACATGTCTTACCATACCGGTTCATACCACTGCCTCAGATCCGGATAGATAGTATCCAGACTGATCCACCAGCACCCAGAATCCCTCTGGCAACAGTTATTACTTCAGAGAAGGGCATATGACCTCATCAGAGCCAGTCAGAGCCAATGGATATCTGTTCACATAACCGTAGAGTGGACCCTCTTTTCTATTGGGCAGATGTAGGATGAAGCTGTTATTGTTCACAAAGAGAAAGAGTGTGGGAAAATGAGGCCCACGTGGAGTAAGCCACGCTAAGAGATGAAAATAATCTTGAGAATATCTCAGAGCCCCTGGAACAAGTGAATTTGATTTCTTTGTGTTTTTATATGTGCCGTGTCTACTGGTAACACCTACCTACTTTTCTCCCTTGCTCTAGCCATGGACCCCCTCCAGGTCAATCTCCATACTGCTGGCAGAAGAAACTTGCTTATTGCCAATCCAATCAGGTCGTTCTGCTACTAAGATTCTTCAGTGGCTCCTTGTTGTCCCAACTCAAGCAGCTCATCATATTTACTAAGACCCCTTACAAGGTGCACATCCTTTGCTAAGTGTTTTAATATAAGGCTGTCTGTCACAGACAGAGACTGTTGTTCATTTCAGAGAGCTTAAAGTCTAGTAGGGAAAGCAGTATTAAAAAAATAGTAATTACCAACTAGAGCATAAAAGTATGGCATATTACTAATCATAAAATGGGGCTTAGGTTAGGGTGAGAGACCTGAAAGGTATCTGTGAAAAAGTGATAATGTAAGTCAAGACTTGAAGAGTGGGCTAGAGCCAGGCCAAGAGAAGGTGAGAGCATTTCAGCTAAGGGAACAGAAGTCCCTTGGGTAAGAAGGAATTTGGCAAGTTCTAAAGACTGAGAGGAGTCAGGGATGGCAGGAGCAGCAAAGAAGAAGGAAACTGAGGTGGTGGGTAGGATGGTGGTAATAGGGATGTATGGTTCTAAGTTCAGAATTGACTTAAGAACCATCGAGCTTTTAAGTCATAAACAAACCCATGGACACGGATATGCCTGGGGAGGGAGAAAAGGAAAAACAAAAGAAAAAGAGAATCTAGGACTGAACCCTGAGAAGTACCAATACTAATGGTGACTTAGAGGCAAGAAAGTCTGAAAGATAACATGAGGTAGAAAGGGACCCAGGAAAGTGGGAACACATGGAATAAAGCCCAAACTCTAGGATGCACACAACATGTACATTCTCCAGGAAACCAGCCTATATTACAGGTCATCCTACGATCCTAGCCAAATAGGTCAGGTACTTGTAAGCTGTTCTTTTTTAGTTGCATGTGAGGTACCCTCTAACTGGGATCAACACTCCAACCACCAACAACGTACCTTATTTGGCAAATTCCTACTTACTGTTTGGCCCCAGTTTCCATGGCACTTCCTCCAGAAGGTCTTCCCTGACTGCCCAAGCCTTTGTAATTTATATTACTCTTTTACATACTCTTATTTTATAATTTTCTATTTGCAGGCCCTTCTCCTCAATTGTACTAATAAATTTCTTCAAGGAAAATCTCTGTTTATTTGCCATTTGACATCATATTTCAGGTACCTGGCCCAAGGCAGCGTATGTATGGCTTAATAAAGATCTTCGGAACAAATGAACTTTGTACTCCTGTAGAGCCAAAGCGTTTTGACATAGTAAGTACTCAATACCTATTTATAAACTTTAATTTAAAAATATTTTGTCACAAGTGTATGATTAGTAAATTGTAATGCTCAGTAAATTCAAATTCTTCTCAATGTTCCACAGATATACATGTGTTCTTACAAACAGTCCTAGGTAAGAATTGACTCAATATCGCTGTTTGTGGGCAGTTCTGAGTTTCGCAGTCATTGAGGTTGCTACATAAGGTCATATGAGAAAGGTCGTGAAAATACATCGCCAAGATCAGATGCAACTGTTTGACCTTTCACATCAATTCACTCGCTTTCTGGTTAACACATGTGGTTCACAAAGATCCCAAGATCTGCCTGTAATCTCCGTGTTTCCCCTGACTGCAAGCAGGGAGGCTAGTGTTCTTAAGGGCGTGTCCTGAGGACCTGTATCTGTGACAGACAACCGGTGGGATTCTAAGGGATGCTGTCCACTGCACCCCCACGTGCTCTGGCTGACGCTGACTGGGTCAGGCCCTGCTGCATGCTCCTGACAAAGACGACCACTCTTGAGAGGAAAAGAGGATCCAACCCTGTGACTGCTCCTTCATGTGCCACGATGATGAGCCACTGTCTCAGTTCCCTCAGAGGCCAGCTGGCAAATCTCACGTCAGGAGATGGGGGGCAAATGGGAATGACATGGAGGTCGCTGGGAAGGCTTCCCGACTACCCATGTTTTCTTACAGAAAACTCCCATCACCTGGGCTAACAGAAGTATGCCTCTTACTTTTCATGCTCTATTTTTTCTTATCCACTATATTTTTATATTAAAGGAAATAAATTAAAAAAAAAAAAAAAAAAACTAGAGACATTCTGAAGCCTAAGCCAAATTCAAGTAGTGGGCAAGAACTGAACAAAAGGCAAAGGAAAAGGCATCTAACCAATTAGGAAATGCCATTATTTTCTTCAGACTATATTACTGCAAATTTGAAAGAAACAGGTTGCCAAGAATGAAGACACATAAATTTAGAAGGGCTAGGCCAACTCAAATTTTTAGAATAGGTGCATGTACTCATTTTAAAATAAATAACACCCACTGGAAGAAAAGCTTGGTACTTTTGTTCGAGTTCCATTTTAAATTTGTATTTTTTACCTCTTATTTAATTGACATTTATCCAAAGTACATATTTACCTAAGAATGATAAAATTATATTTTAATTGATATTCCACAGGAATAAATTCCTGTCATCTCTCAAATCTACTCAATAATTGTGAAAAATTCTTTATACCACAAAGGGGTGTCTTGGTTAAAAGTCTCACTTTATGAGTATTTATTTCTCCTTAAAATATATGAAAAAGGAAATGCTAATCTAATAAGCCT